ATAATAATATTAAAATAGCGGGCCAAATCGGCTGCGAGGCCACCGGGAATTGTCCCGGTTGTCCCGATGGCCAGTCCGCGCCTGATTTCCACAGACACGCAGAACGTGCAGGATTCATATATTGTCTTTTTGCGGCTTAATATTCACAGACACTAGTCCATATCGCGTTTTGATTCAAGTGTACTGACCTACTTTTGATTTATTCGTCCAAAATGTGGCATATTCCGTCCGCGTTAGGCTATAGGAATTCCATTTTTATGACTGCTACAAACCAGTCTGTGTTTTCCGCATCGCGGAAATTGAGTAGTCAGTGCAATTTGGGAAAGAAATCAATTAAACCTGTATGTGGATGTGTGTAAATATTCAAATGTAATCCCCTTTGTGATCGTTAACATTTTCATAAGTAACTGTAATTTAATTACACATTTTTTCTTAGTAACTGTAACTAAATTACGTAACGCCGTTACATGTAATTAGTTACTCCCCAACACTGTTTATTTATACATTCGAGGTCAGTAAGATTCAAAGAAATTAATACTTTTATTCAGAAAGAATGCATAAGATTAATCAAAAGTGACAGTAAAGACATTTATAATGTTCCAAAAGATTTCTTTTTCAAATAAATGTTGTTCTATTGACCTTAATCTATATTTTAAAAAAATCCTGAAAAAAATGTATCTGTTTCCACAAAAATGTTAAGCAGCACAACTGATTCCAACATTGATAATCATAAGAAATGTTCCTTGAGTAGCAAATCAGCATATTAGAATGATTTCTGAAGGATCATGTGACACTGAAGACTGGAGTAATGAAATGAAAATTCAGCTTTGCCATCACATCAATAAATTACATTTTAAAACATATTAAAACAGAAAACAGTTACTTTAAATTATAATAATAATATTTAACAGTATTAGTGTCTTTACTGTATTTGTAATCAACTAAATGCAGCCTTTGTGAGCATAAGCAATTTATTTCAAAAACATTAAAAAGAATCTTGACACATATACTATTATTACCTTATAATATAATATACTATAATATATATATATATATATATAGGGTGAATTTGGGTAATCTGGGACATTGGGTAATCTGGGACACCTAAACTCCAGTGTGTTTATTTCCTGTTCTAACAAAATTTAGTCAACAGGACTTTTACTATAATTTTAGCATAGATGTCATGTGACTGAAATCGCATGACTTCATTGGGGTGATTCCACAGAAAGGGGCGGGGCACTTGTCAATCAAGAAGCTCCCCTGGGAATTGCATGACAAGGTCAGTGACATAGGATTCTGACTAGATTAATGTTAAGGACATAAATCTGTCATAAATAATACAATGTCCCTAATTGTTGTCAAATTATGTTTGTGATCTATTCAAGCAACACAATATGTATTAAAGTGTTGAAAATGTTTTAGTTTTTTTTCTTTCAAACATTTTTTTGTTGTCCCACATTATCAAATATGATTGAGAATGTGGGACAGCATGCTTTGGGTAATCTGGGACAGTCTTCAAATGGAGGAAATATGTATTTAGGGACTTTATAAGTCTAATGACAAGGGATAATATATGCTATAATTAGAAATGGGTGTTAATATGGAGTTCTGGATGTTATAACATTAGCATAAGTTCA